AAGAAAGCTTATTCCAGCAAAACAGAAGTTTCACACAGCCCCAAGGAATATCCCATTGTTTTTCCAAATGGGTTTTTTCTTGCACCAGAGAGAGCAGAACTGGCCTTTTCTATTCCTTGCAGCAGCCATCTCCAGCTCCTGCCTGGCATCCTCTGATGCTTCCCATGGCCACAGGAAATGAAAGATTAAACAGAGGCCCGTGGTGACCATAAACACACGACTCAGCTGGGAGCATTACTCAGAGACCAGCAATGGGTGATGAACGATGTCATGATGTTGCATCATAAACAGGAGAAAACCCCCCGCAGCTATCCCTGTAACCCCAGGATCAGTGCAAAAATAGGCTGTGTCCCCTCTTATCCCATTCCAAAAACCTGTCAGGAGCCAAGGAAACATCTCTGCAAAAAGCATCAACAGGAGTCTTGGAGTGTTCTTCTGCCAAAGATTGCTTTTCAAGCAATTTTTTTCCTCACTACAACCTCACAGCAGCTCACAGAGGACAAGTGCTAAGGATTTAGGGATGGGAGGAGACAGACCTGCTTGCTCAGTTGCCTTTCAGAGCCAAGAGCATGAAATATGCTAATCCTGCCCATCTCTGCCAAGCACTGCAGACCCAGAACCACTGAATGCATAATAAAACTTTCACCCAGCTTTAACGAGAAGTGAAATGAGTGCCACAGCCTCAGATACTGAATTCATGCATGCTGGAAAAACAGATCTCCTATTACCCAGAAGAGCTGGATGTGAACCAGTGACCTGTGTCTATGTCCCATCACTCTCCACCTCCCCGCTGCCCTCAAGCCATCCATCTTGCCTGAATTTCTCAGAGCCCTTAAACAAGGAATTCACAAAGCAGAAAATCATGATGCTGCAAGGAAAAATCCCAGCTGGAGCCAAAGGGCATGGGGCAGGTGGCTTCACAATGACCTGGTTGACCCTCAGCTACTCTCAAAATTGTTGCCTTGATTATACTAATCCAGTTAAAGGCCAATGCTTCCTTCAGACGAATACAGCTGACAGCTCATCCCTCAAAACCATTCCCCTGAAAAACCCCTAAGCAGAATCTTTCCTCATCAGACACTGTGCCAGCCATTCACACTTCCTCAATCCTCTTCCATATCTGACAGACACCAAATTTCTCTTGTCCACTGTCCTGTTGCTGAGCACAGACAGGCGCCAAAGGCCTCATTATAAGCCAATAACCTCAGTCTGTTCCATGTGAGCCTGACACATTGCACCTCAGCTCACCCCCCTCCCCAGTCACTTGTAGGGTCAGTAGCCAGGAGGTTTTTATTGCAGGAGTCTAGCACAGGTCATGTTAAGCTGAAGAGGTCAGCAGAAAGGTCTGTAGCTGGAAGGAAGAGGAAGGCTGATGCTAACAGCAAACTTTTATTCAGATTATGCTAAGGCAAAAGAGAGCCAGCCAGGCTGCCTGCCCCAGAGAACTCCTTGCCAAGACAGAAAATATTCAACCTTTTCCTGTTTCCCCAAGGTCGCAGTCAGAACTGTATAGTTTATCAGCACGTTTGGGATACCAGCCTCTCGGGCAGCAGATTACAACCAGGAGCATTTGAATGTACAGCTCAGGAGCTCCCAAAAGTCAAATCAGGTGCTTAACAAAGAGTAGAAAGCACAGGTGCCACAATCAGCCTTTGTCAAGGCTCGAGCTCCAGACAGCTGTGGCAGGGTCAGTTCTAATCATCAGCCCAGACATAGGGCCCTTGCATTTCTTTACAGTACTACTAAAAATAAAATTCAACAAAAACACTTCACCCAGTGCAAATTTCCATAGTACTCCAGCACTGCACACTGCTGGGGCAGAGTTTAGAGTCTTCTCCCCACCTCACCTCTTCATTTTCTCTCTCACAGAGGATTCAAACTCAGAAAGATGAGGAGAATGCCCACATCTGAGTTTTTCTGCTGCTGCCAACAACTGATGGCTCTTGGAGACTGTAACAGATGAGGGACTAAGCCTCAGCCTGAGCAGACAGATGTCACAAAGATGTTGCCTTAGACCTTTGGAAAGGCAACAGCAGACAGGATCACGGGTACATCCTCCAGAGAGGGACATGGTTTGCACAGCTCCAAAACACCTCCCGTGCAGCTCAGCCAGCCTGCATGCAGCCAGAAACACCTCTCAGGTCCAAGGGCTCACAGCAGGCACCCAAAAGAGGGTGGAGCCCTTCCAAAACACAGCTCCTAGTAATGCATCAGGTCACTGGAGATGAAAGGCAGTTAGGGATCAAGCAGAGCTCGAGATAGTTTTATTTGCTTTATAAGTGGCTAATCAAAATAATGTTCCTATGATGTTTTTATTACTGAAAGGCTCACAAATGAGACTTCTATTAAAAAAAGATCTACATACAGAAAGCTGAGCAATCTTCTGAGACAGGTCAAAAGAGCAAACAGCAAAGGCTGCTTTGTGAAAAGCAAATATGGCACAGACACTTGGGAAATGAACAGAAATGCAGGCAGAGAAGCACAGGCCACAGATTGCAACTAACACCAAAACCTTCAACAAATAACTTACAAGAGGTTTGCTGACCACTGAGGTCAGATCCACTCTACTACTCATGGAAAAATGGGTCTGTAAAACCAGGCTGCAGCAGCAAGATATACTAGGAAAAGTGTGTTTTGAGGATGTATTTTTACATCAGTAAACCTTTGCCTACAAAATCAACTGGACCAGCTGAAGTGGTTTTCACCAGCAAAATGCCATCCACAACAGGCCTTCAGCTGATATAAATGCTTTTAGAGATAAAAGAGAAAAGTAAACACAAGAAGCAAGACTTCCTGCAGCACCTAGCTGCAGTTATCAGATTTCCACTGCCATCGCTGCACTGAAATGATCCCACTTCTGGAAGAGGAGGATGACACTTTGTCTCAGCAGTCCCAGCTACCTGCACACAGGGAGAACCTGGACAAAACACCTCCTCTCCCGAAGCAGAGCTGGTGAAGAACAAAGTTCTCAAACCAAAACATTGTTTTTCATTGTTAATGAATTACTAAGCTGACCTTTACCCCGACAAAGAAAGGGAATGCTTTTTCCAGAAGGATCAACAGTGATTTCTCTATCAGGAACACCTCAGTATGGCAGGCAATGAATTTCTTTCCTTGGCTGGCATTGACACAGAGCATGAAAAGACATAACCCAAAGCATAGCTCAGTCTCAACACTTTCCAAAACAAGTGATGCCATTAAACTAAAAGCGTGACACATGCCTGAGGCTTTGCAGAACATGGCTCAAACCTCATCTACTTTGCACGTTGCTCTGGGACACTACTTTAAACCCATTGCGATCAAGTAACAACAGATCGTAGTAACAGGACACTCTTGAAGCTTAATCCGCACTATACCATAGGTGCAAATTTCCCACGGACAGGCTGAGTTACACCGTAATGCTGTAAACCTACTTTCATTCAGCATGTAAACGACCTTAGCTCAGTCCAGTTAGTTCAATTCAGGAATTAATAAAGACAAATCAAATTAAATTGTGAATATGAGCATCTACACAGGGATTTAATTCACTTTAATCAACCCACTGGAAAGGTTAATTGGATTCATTTTCTTGAGTAACCAACCATGTGTGGACAGACTCTAAGGATGAGATCTTGACCACGCTAAAATGGCCAGTAACAGTTTTGCTAATGACTTAATAGGACGAACATTAACCCCTAAAACACCAACTTCAGCTTTTGTCCCAGTAACACTAAGTGAAGCATTAAAGGATGACAGGAGGCCAAAGGGAACCCCCAGCTGCCTGCACAGAAATATGTTTTCTACTCTTGGCCAGCTAAATAATCAAATTCACAACTTCTATTTTGTAAGAATTTAAATTTGAAAAAAAAAAATGACCAGTGGCAATGGGAAACAAGTTGAAGGAAGTTTGATTTCCTTTAGGCAGGAAACCATTGCTCTCTATTATTAAAGAGTAAATTTAAACTAACTTAATTATGCCAGAGCTTCTACCGGTTTATATCACAAATCACTGTCAGAAAGAACAAACTATCTCCTACACATCTTTCTAAAGCCAAAGCAGCTCCAGGGCACATTTAATTGAGCTCAAAGGCAGACACTGTGCTAACAGGGAAGCGCAGGGCAGCCCGGCCCAATAGAAGGTGAATCCGTGCTCTGAGCACAGGCCAAGCCCGCGGGACCCCTGAAAGCGAGGGGGGCGCGGGGCTCTGCGGGGCGGGAGCGGCTGCCTGGCGCTCCCAAGCTCAGTGCAGGCCAGCATTCATAAAAACCGGTAGGAGTAAGTGTTTATAGCCGGGGCCTCCAAATCGCCAAATCCGTGGATATTCACAGTTCTGCTCCCATTTTTCCAACGGCTCGAGCGGAGCCTCCGAAGCCGGCCGAGCCGTAACGGCGAGGCACAGACAGACAGACAGACATCGCTGCTCGTCCTTGTCCCGCAGGGTGCCCCGGCTGCCCCATTCCCCGCGGGAGCGCAGCCCCGGCCGGCGCCCCCAGCCCGGCTGCCCGGGCGCGGCGGGGGGAGCGCGGCGGAGGCGCCGGCGGCGGCCTCGGCCCCGGCGCAGACAAAGGGCTGCGCCCTCCCCCAGCGCCGCTCCTCGCCTTCTCCCGGGGAGAAGCGGCGCTGCCAGCCCGGCCCCCGCCGCTCGCCCGGGAGGGGAGCCGGGAGCGGGGCCGGCAGAGCGGCCGCGGCTCTCTGTCCAGCGCCTGCGGCTCTCTGTCCAGCGCCTGCCGCCGCTTCGCCGCCGGCCTGCGCCTCCCGTCCCCACCCGCTGGACACCGCGCACCGGCACCAGCACCGTGGAACCCCCGTGCCACGGCCACGGAGCGCCCCGTCCCCTCCCGCTCACCCGGCTCCCCGCCAGCGCCGCGAACCGCCGCGGCGCCTGCAAATTGTAAAATAATTATGTTTTTTTTAAAAAAACACCTCAAACCAACAGTTTCTCCCCTGCCTGGCTCCCATTTCCCCCGACCGCCCCGTCCCGTCCAGCGCCCCCTCCTCCCCTCGCCGGGGCGAGCCGCACCTTCCTTGACTCCGGGCAGCTTGGAGTGGTCGATGCCGATGCCGGCCATGGCCGGGCCCGGTCCCGGTCCCGCTAAGGGCGGCCCGGCTGAGGGCAGCGCGGCGGTGCCGCCCGCGCCCCGCACCGCCGAGTTGGGAGCGGCTGGAGCCGGGCCGTACGGCGCGGGAGAGCGGACAGAAAGCGCCGGGCGGGGCGGAGCGGGGCCGCTCGCCGCCCCTCGCCCCCCTTCCGGGGAGGCGGACGGGGGCGTCCCGGGCTGCTGCCCCCTCCCCTTCCCGGCGGGGCTCGGGCAGCAGCTCAGCGGGACGGGTCGTTTCCGAGGGCAGTTATTTATACATTTGGGGTTTTTTTTTTAAGTTTCTTTTTTTATTATTATTGTTTGGGCGGTGGGGGTGTTGTGTTGGCTGCTTTGAGCCTCGGCCGGAGATCCTCTCCCACCGCCGGGGCGGCGGTCAGACCGCTCGGCCAGCTCCGATCCCCCAGCGCTCTCCCGTACCGCGTCCGGCTGCCTCTGTCCCTTCATCCCCAAAGCATCCCAGCCCCGTGCTCGCTCTGTTCCGCCGGCCTGGGAATAGCAGACGTGTCCCGCTGGAGCCTCAGAGCCACTGCCCAGCGGCGTCACCTTGTCCCTCAGAGCAGGGGCGGTGACAGTGTTGGGACGGGCACCTCTCGAGGAGGGCAGTGCAGGCGAGAGATTCCCGGTCACAGAGCACTGTGAGAGGCCTGTGAACCCCAGCAGTGCTCTGCCACACACGGCTTGGTGCCAGCTCTCGACGGAGACGGCAGGACTCACAGCTGCTGCCCGCCTTGGTTTGCCGGCAGCAAAGAAACAGAACGAGATGATGCTTCGTGGGCAAAGGGGAGAAGATAAGAGGAAGAGGATTTGGGGTTTAGGGATGTCTGAGCTTCTCTGGGCTGTGCTCAGCACAACCAGTCACTCATGTCAGCTGGTATGTTTGAACATAAATGCGTGATGCTGAGGGCTATGCAAGTAGATGTTGTTAATATTGCCACATTGGAAATTAGTTGCTCCCAGGTCTATTCCAATGGCCCATGGCCTCCATGCCACTGGTGAGCAGAGGGATACAGAGGCTGAGCCCATTTCCTGCTCCCCCTCTCCAACAGGCTCTGGGAAGCTCTGTGGTGTGAGTGACTGGGATGGGAGCTGAGAGGGAGGCAGAGTAGGATGTCAGAAAAAACATCAAAGACAATAATATTTTGATTTTATTAAAAAGCAAAAACATTAAAGAAAATTACCAAAAGAATTTGTTTCCAGAAGGTTAGCCTTGTGCTACTCCTATATTTTCTAGTCTTGTTTCCTGGAACTCAGGAACTGTCTGTCCTGAATTCTGCCCCTTTCAAGCAATACTTCACCAACCCCAGTGTAGGTATGCATAGACTGTCTTCAATCTGCCTGCCTTCAACTTCCCTTCAATTTCTTAGCCTCCTGCACAAAAGAAAGCCACAGAATTGTGTGTATTTGTGATCCCTTCTCACACTGCACACACGTAGTTCACCTCTCGTGTGTGATGGCACACTCTAAGAGCTGATGAGCCTCCTGCCTAGAGGGATGTAGTACCCACTCAGAGAGGTGAGCAGTGCACAGCTGAGCCCCACTCCACAGGTTCTCCATATGATCACACAGATGGGCATTAGTCACAGGGTCTGTCCCCCAAGGGGCAGCTCATACAGATTATCTCCTGTCACAGTCCCAGCTCTGCCCAGCTCCTCCTTCTAATCCCTCTGCCATCCATACAAGCAGTACAACTGGACTTCTTGTGTATAATCCCCATTGTTTCAGCCAGATCTGAGTGAATGACAGGTCTAAAATCCATTTATAGTTTCTCCTAAATTACTGAACTCAGTATATGCCTCTGGACATAATTCACTTTTTTCATAATCAAGCTTTCTGATCACTTAGTAAGATTTTTTTATTGGAAAAAAGAAGAGGCCAAGCAACCAGGACTATACAGAAGTGGCAATGAATGTACTGATCTGACACAGGTCACAGCTTTCCAAGGCCAGAGTATGGTTTTCTCCTGTCCTTCACTCATTATAAAGTATTCAAGTCAGAGCTGCAGAAGCTGAAATCCTAAAGCATTCACATTTACACAGCAGCTTTAATGCAACAGAGTCACTTTATGACCGTACATTTATAAACAAAGCTTTAAAGCTGTTCATCCCAATGGTCATGCACTTTACTCCACATACACAGCTCTTTGCTCTAGTCTTCAGTAATGAATTCATATTATATTAAGTTGTCTGTAGGGCCAAAACCAGCAACATAATTTATCCATAAATCTGCACTGCATTCAAGAGGTTCCATGTTGGGCTCATGTGGCTTTGGTTGCTGGCATGAGTGAACTGTCTTCCTGGATGTCTTCACTAAAATGAGATCTGGTACCCAGTGCTCAAAGTCACAGCAGAGCAGTTCCTGATTTCAGGTTTCTAATACACAAATTATGGGCTCCTCATGCCTTCCTGTAGCTATATTTATTTATCTTCAATGTCTGCTGAAGCTCAGTGATAGACAGTGGATGGGGAGCTCTGCTAGGACCTAAGGAAACTACAAGAACACAAAGTAAGTGACACTTTGTTCTTGCTGCTGGAAATGCAGGGATCATCTCCAGTTGTCAGAGCGCAGAAAGGCTGGAGCAGGCTCCTGGGAAGGGTAATGCAGGCAAACCCTGTCAACACTGTCAACCTGATCCCTAAGGCAGTGTATTACACGCCAAAGTATTTTCTTTGCCTTCTTGCCATCAGATTTCTCTCTCATTTTAGCTTGATTTTTGGGAGATTATTCAGATGACATCTCTGAAATTGGAAGATGGCATGAATCACTTGATTATGGAAGATCCAAAAATTACCACAGCAGGACTGAGGATGAGAAGGAATTAAATAGGAACCAGGGAATGAGTTACTGATGTAAGGCTAGCACTGCAGCAACGTCACATCTTAGGCTCCCCCAAAGGGCTCCTCAGTGTGGTTGCTCACAAATCACCCTCCCAACTCTCACTTCTGTCTACAAGTTGCAGCTTCTAGACAAAAAGCATGAAAAGTGTTTGTTCTGAGAGACTGTCATCAGCTTTTCCTGTGCAAACTGTACAGCACCTAGCTTGACAAGTAGTACATGTTGCAGTGGGTAGGTGAATCCTAAAAAATCTGGGAAAAGTAACCACTTCCTTTTATTGAAGATAACAAGACAACACTTCAATCTTTTATAAAAGCGGGTACTTATTCTCACAGGACCTTCTGTTGGAAGAAAAGTCCCTATTTTTTCCCATGAAAAAAACAGAATTAGATCTGGCTTTAACTCTTTTCTTGTGGAGTAATTTCATTCAGAAGAGATTTTGCAGGGCACTAGTCCGACTCCCTGCTCAAAGCAGGACTGGCTTCAAAATTTGATGAGGTTGCTCAGTGCCTTCCCCAGGTGAGGTTTGAAAATCTCCAAGGCTAAAGATCACAACACCCCCCACTGTGATTTTTCTCCTTGTGTCTTGGTGGACTTCTCCTGGCTGCACCCTGCAAATCTGGACCCTTGTCCTTGCACGGTGTGCCCAGTTTGGCTCTGCTTTCCAGCTGCCCCTCTCCATGGCAGACCACATTTACCAGGCACATCTGTGAGGGGTGTGCTCCACCAGACAGCTGGGGCAGGGGCTCAGACTGCAGCTGGACTGTGCCACCACACAAGTATTAAACACCAGGGAGCTCCAGCACTGGGCACTTTGCCCACCTGCATCCAGAGATCTGATCTGCCCCTAAACACTGGAGTAAACCCAGACTGTTATGCTGGTACATCACACAATACTTTCCCAGCTTTCACAGCACTGAAAACACTCCTGAGAGGCTGCTCAAAGGAGAGGCTGGGATACTTAAAAACAGGGAAAAAGCAACACATTCTGGACTGCCCCTCAGAAAAGCTACAGTGAGCTTTGATGAGCAGGAGCTGCCAGATAGAGCATTGGGACTAGGAGCTAGGGTTGCTTTATGCTGTAAGATCTTTCTCCAGGCAGGAAGAGAGTGTTTTGTGCTTGCTTCTTAAATAAACTGGGCACCTCTCCAAGTCTCCTGCTGTCATTTGAGGTCAACAGGATAACAACAACTGTGAAATAAATTAAGTCTCATCAAGATGTTCACTTTTGACAGAACAGCCTTTGTTAAAGTCTCCTTAACAACGGCGAAGCTCACTTCCAATTGATGAGGCTGCTGTCCAAATAGACATAGAGGATAATAATCCTACAGGCAGGAACTTGTGCATCCATTAATGGTTAATGCAAAGGGATGGAAAACATGGTTCTCTCTCATGCTATCAGGTGATGCACAAACCCATGTCCAAAACTAGTATATCATTGGTGGCTGATGCCAGGGAGCTGACCCTTCCGGGGACATGGGCTCTGGTTTTTCTCTCCAAAGTCAAATTCCTGTATAAAATGGTAAAACCCAGTGCAGGACTCCATTCAATCTGCAGGAAGCCTGAAGGATGTGAGTGCATTGTTTTCTCTCTGTGATAAATAAAAATCAAGGTTTGAGGGTTCAAACAGGACCTGCCCCCAGCCTGGGGCAAGGATGCTGTAGAGCCTCCCAGGAAGAGAGGCAGGTGATGTAGTGATGCAGCGGGAAAAAATAAGACAGGGAAAAAAATAACACTTCAGACATCAATCTCCCTGCATTTCTAAGCTAAGACACTTCAAGAGAGGTTTGAAATCCTGTGCCAGAAGGGGTGGATGAAAGGAATTGAACATCACAGCATTGGCAAAGAGTGCCAAGAAGCAGGTGTGTAATATCCGTAGGTAGCTGAATGGTGCCTGTGGGAATTCAGGCTCCCTGAAGAACAAGGAGAGCAGAAGCCTGCAAGGATTAAGGTATTATAAAGCTCACCAGGGGTAATGAATGGGGTGATTGCAAAGAATGAGCAGAGAGGAAACATAACTTGTGCTCACATGTAACATAACGAGGAGCACTAGGAAAATCATGAGCCATGCCACAACAGAGCAAGGGGGTTTTCTTGACTGTCAAATTGGAGAGTAAACATGTGCAACCTGAAGTGAGATATGACTTGA